ATTTATTTATTTTATTTACTTTTTTTTTTTTTTTTTTGGGGGGGGGGGGTACAAAACATAAACAAACAAGCAAACCACCTAAAACCAAAAAATAAATAAATAAATAACTAGATAAATACATGTAGATATATTCTGGATAAAAAGATTAATCAAATAAGTTTACTTGGTATTGATCTTCTGGGTCATCAGTTGGGATGCCATAAAACATGATATTGGTCAGCATGGTGGTCAGTAGAAGGGTCAGAGCACAGGTCAGTCTCTGGGTTCTTGTGAAGGGACAATTTGGTGGACAAGAGAACACACTGACCCACAGATGTTTTTCCCTCATGCTGAAGCCACTGTTACTGGAGAACAGGTACGAGAACTCCTTCATCTCCTCCACTGAGGCAGGGCGCAGTGTACGCTGGATGCAGAAGTCATCCAGGTCCAGAGCAAGCCAGCGGTTACACAGGAACTCACACAACTCATTTCTCTGCAGGTCACTCACTGTCAACTTCTCCAGAAACCAGGCAGGAGCAGCTCCAGAGTTGTCGTGCCAGATGGTGACAGAGACGAGGTCACCCAGGCACTGGGCACAGGTCAGTAGGAAACTGTCCACACCACCACTCTCAAATACTGGACGCCTGGGGTCACTCAGGACATGACGCTCACTTTCACCATCTTCACCTTTAAAATGGAAAATAAAAATTGAAAACAAGAGATAAGTTTGTGATTGTACAATTAAAGATTGAATTGGCTTGTAATTTATTTTCACAGCCTTTTTTTTTTATTACAGCCTTGAAATTCACCTTTAATAAAACAACCCACATTAGCTGTGGTCCCTGCCCCTGTCCTCCAGCCAGTGATAACTGTGACAAGGTAGCCATACTTATTCTCTGGATCATTGTCTTCTAACACTGTCACTCCAGCCTGGAGAGATGAAAAGAATTGTTACAACAATGTCATTAGCAACAGTGAAGCCAAAAGATTTCAATGGATTTAAGCTAAAATTTCTAGTGTGCAAAACGCTCATTCTATATTCTTAATCTACATGTAAATGTTTGAAAACATCAAAATGTGAGCACCTGGGAGCTTTGCATTAATTTAATGATTACTGATATAGATAATGCCCAATACTGAGTTTTATTTGGTTGCATAAAAACTAAAATAAGTATTCAGCATCAGCTGTTGTGGAGTGCATTTACTTTTTCAAGCACATATTACAGGGCTGAGAAAGAGTTAAAAAGGGATTCTTCTGAGACCCACTAAAGTCATGGTAAACTGAAATAAAATCCCCTCACACTCCCCAAGCAATCTTGTATATCAAAATTAGAGGTCCATTCACCTTAAGTAGGTCTTCCCTGTCCTTCTTGCGTGCCCAGATAACAACTGCCAGGTAGATGCCCCATACACACAGCACAATGCTCACCACCAATGGGTTCTCCAGTAAAGTCAGGAACAGAGCAGAGTCTGCCACAATATCAATGGCATTAGGCAGAATAAAGAAACTGCCAGAAAACACAGTCATGTGATGACAGATACAGTGTAAAGTAACAGCTGTGCTGAGAGGAGAAACCTGGAAACAGAAAGTGGGAAATGTGCTAGGTGAGAAATAGTTGGATTGTGTTTGGAGAAAACACCTGCTGTTAGAGAGACTTGGATACAGAAATTTGGAAATGTGTTAGGTGAGAAATAGTTGGATTGTGTTTGGAGTAGACATCTGCTATAAGAGAGACTTGGATACAGAAAGTGGGAAATGTATTAGGTGAAAACCCTGGTCAATGTTTTGGATACAGAAAGTGGGAAATGTATTAGGTGAAAACCCTGGTCAATGTTTTCATATTTATTTATCTATTTATTATTCTATCAATCCATCTATATTGAAACAAAAAAGCTGACTACCTTACATCCTTCACTACTCCAGATTTCTCTCTGCTCATCCCAGAACAGACAGGCACTAGAATGGACTGTGACCAGAAGTTGGAGACTCTCATTAACATCAAGGTGCCCTATGTATTGTAACATAGTAATAATTGTTAATTAACACCCCAGAACAGACAGACACTGGAGTGGACTGTGACCAGAAGTTGGACACTCTCATTAACATCAAGGTGCCCTGTGGTATTGTAACATAGTAATAATTGTTAATTAATGTCCCAGAACAGACAGACACTGGAGTGGACTGTGACCAGAAGTTGGACACTCTCATTAACATCAAGGTGCCCTGTGGTATTGTAACATAGTAATTGTTAATCATCCTATGGATAAAAATAGTAGTACCCAGAGGAAAGTGCATTTCATCATCAGTGGATAGCGTTGTCCAGGGGATATACATTGTAGCACCCAATACTAATGTACTGGTACCAATATGTAATAATATACACAGACAGTGATGGAGTATAGTATTCAATACTAATGTACTGGTACCAATATGTTACAGTGTACACAGACAGTGATGGAGTATAGTATTCAATACTAATGTACTGGTACCAATATATTACAGCGTACAAAGACAGTGATGGAGTATAGTTCCCAATACCATTGTACTAGAGCCAACCTCTATCAAGATATCAATATCAAAGAAAATAAAAACAAACAAGCACCTTATTCTGCAAACCATCTGCCTGAAACTTTGTGCAATAATTAACTAAGATATCAGTTAAAATGTTGAAGATTATCTTGTTTTATTGGAATATATTAGAGTTAAAAATCCCTAATACATTACAGTACCATAAATTACCCTTTAACATCCTGTAGTTATATGAATTTATTTGTACTTGACCATATGTAAAATTAACTTAAAGTAATACTGGCAAAAGTAAAAGCATAAGGCTTCAGGGGCTGGTTTCGCAAAGCAGTAGTTAGTTAGCGATCGGTAGTTAGCCTCTCGCTAGTTATAGTGCCGTTTCACGAAGCAGTCGCTAGTTCTCTCGCTCGTTATTGTCTCGTTGTTACCTTGGATATTTAACGACTGGTCAGACCAGTCGCTAACTCTAGAGTTTCATCGTACGCATGCGTAATGAGTGAAATAAAAAGGTTGCTTAGTTACCGTTGTCTGTCGTTTGTCTTTGTATCCAATATGGCGGCTACTTTTCTTGCTATCCGTACCGCCAGACGGCAACGTAGACTACGGCGTTTTTATGAAAGGCAGAATCTATTAGAATATACACACGATGATGCAATTTACGAGAGGTTGCGCCTAGCTGTGACAAAAAGAGCGGCAAAAAGGTGGTGGAGATCCTTTACGACGACTTCAAAGCAGACGTTCTTATGCATTTCCAGCCACCAAAAATTGGAGAGTTAGTGCTTTCGTGACACTTTTACGCAAGAGTTCCACTTCCGGCAGACGGTTTCGAGACTACGGTGAGTAACGAGAGAACTAACGACCGAACTTTACGACTGAACTTAGCGATGAGTTAAC